TTTACTTACTTTGACTAAAAATGTTAACAATTCATCTATTTTTTATTTAGCAATTTTTCTCTAAAGAATTTCAACTTTTTTACACTTTAGCTAAAAATCTATTTACCCAAGTTAGACACCTTCTAGACTCTAGAAATTTGACAAAATCTAAAATATTCTTTTTATTGATAAAGGACAAAGTCACTAATTCATAAACAAAAACAACGAAAAATAAAAGTTGTGACTTAAACTAAAGTAGTACAAATTATAAGAGAAGAGAGCTTATAAAGTAAACTAACAATTTCAATGTAAAGTAAAATAAACAATTTAAGTTGAACCAACAAATTATAAATAATTTCAAAGATTGCACTTGCATATTTTAACAAAGGTAATGTAAGATTTCACTTTGTAGAAAAATTTGATCTTTATAAAGTAAAATAGCCTGTAGAATATTTCTTGTTGGATTTTAGTATAGAGATAAATGTAAAATAAAATAAAATAAAGTAGAAAAATAGAGATAAAAAATAAAACACAGAGGAAAAGGAAGAATCAACTAACAAGGATAGCTATTGATTAGTCTCTTAAGCCTTAGCATTGACTGGATATGCACGTCGCTTGTGCAGTACACACGGTGACAAACATAAAAACTAAGCAACTAAGCAAATGAAAGTGACAAGGTGATGCGACCTAGTTCTGAACTCACGACGTTGTCTAAAGTTTGAAGCCGCTAGACCATCTTTCCACACGATCATCTTCGGTCAAATGGGTTCAAAAACGTTTTATAGCAATAATTTATAAAATTTAACCTATATAAAATATCAAAAATATTCGCAAAAGCGGGTTCATATGAACCCTCTTGAACCTACATGGGTCCGCTCCTGAGTACATATACTCATGTACGTGTCACAGTCGCCATTTGTGATAGAACAAAAGTTATACAGGTATAACAAATATTAAATGCATGAAAAATAAGTTAAGTAAACAACAAAGCATTTAAATATAAGGGTTTCAATTTGTCATGGCATTAAGCGTAAACACTAGATCCTTAAAAAGGCACCAAATTTATCTTTAAAGTGTGACAAGCGTCGTTAGAATCATTAAGGCATATCAAGGGACGAAATTAAAAAATAGTCAGATTTACAAGTGGTCATTCAAAAATAGCCACAGTTTCAAAAGTCATCGAAATTTAGTCACTTTTCATGTAAAGATAAATTTGAACGAAAACACTGTTCAAAATTCGAAAAATACTCCAGCATAATATACTGGAATTCCAGTATACTTTGCTGGAACTCCAGTATAAGTTCCAGTAAACTTTGCTTGAACTTCCAGCAAAGTATACTGGAGTTCCAGTATATTATACTGGAGCCAGCAAAGTATACCGGTCCAACATAATATGCTGGAAGTTCATACACAGGTGCACCGAACTCCAGTACATTATACTGGATCGGTCTCTGTTGCAGCAAAATAGTGACTATTTTTTAATGACTTGGCAAACGCCGGCTATTTTTGAATGACCAGTCCGAAAACTGGCTAGCCCGTGCTATTTTAACCATATCAAGCGTTATTTAACTTGTAATCTCAATATCCGTATCTCATAAAGTGCCATTTCATTTAGTTTGTAATCTCAATGCTCATATATCAAAAGCTTAACAATAGTAGGACATGGTACAACAGGGTAAAGAACGCAATGGTACACTTGGATACAGAATTCACAGGTCCGATCTTTCTCTCAACTGGATAAGTGGTACACCAGGGTAAACACCTACACCCAATCTTCCTCTCGGCCCGATGACCGCGGGCCCAATTTTTGTCTAATAAAAGTTTCATATAATGTCATTTATTTTTATTTCACAAATCATGGTATTTTCGCACCTGCGACACTTGGAGCGCAGGTGCGGCTCCGCTTTTGCTTGAGCCTGGTCGCTTATGCGATCCTTGAGTCCTAGGAGCTTGCTCGCTTCTACGGAAGTTTGCACGCAGGTGCGAAGGCCGCTTCTGCGGTCCCTCGATCGCATCTGCGTTTCCCTCTTTCGCTTCTGCGGTACCGCTGGTGCGGCTGTAAATCCGCAGATGCGGTTCCAGGCCTGGCCAGCTGAGTTCGCAGATGCGGACTCTTTCTCGCAAATGCGAGTGCGCAGGTGCGTCTCCTAGTCCGCAGATGCGGAAGTCCTGGCAGAAATATTAAGTCGAGGGTTTGGCTATTTTCTTCATATTTTGAGTTTTAGACTTCGATTTTGGGAGCTTCCTTGTAGGTTTTTCAAGAAAATCGATTGGGTAAGTATTCTTCAACTAGAATTTATTTATTTCCATGATTCTATCTTTATTTTTATCATTTAATTTGTGTTTTGAGTTGAGGAAAATGGTGATTTTTGAAGAAAATTTTCAAAATAAAAAATCACGATTTGAGGGACGAAATGGTATCGGAATTTGATGATTTTAGTATGTTAGACTCGTGAGTGAATGGGTGTTCGTATTTTGTAACTTTTACCTGATTCCGATATGTGGGCCCGGGTCGACTTTTTAGGGCGGATTTCGGATTTTTTTGTTAAAATATTGGTTTCACTAATTAGATGAGTCTATTGTGGTTGTATTCATGATATGCAATTTGCGTTTGGCTAGATTTGGGCCATTCGGAGTCTGATAATCAAGGAAAGGGCATTCTTGCAGACTGATTGAGCTTGGTTCGAGGTTAGTATCTTGCCTAACCTTGTGTGGGGGACTTCCCCTTAGGATTAGAGTCTTCTATGTTGATTGAAGTCCGTGTACACGAGGTGACGAGTGCGTGCACGGATTTATTTATGAAAAGTTGGCCTTTTAGGGTTCTTAGGTCCTTGTATTCGTTGAATATGCAGTTGTTCTTGTTATGATTATATATCTTAATTACTAGATTCACATCTACCTGCTTAATTAGAATAAATTGCTTCATGATCCACTATTATCGTTACTTGATTCATATGTGCCTTAATTGAAACTGTTATCTCTTTTATAGCCATGCTATCTTTTCATAACTGCTTATTTTTATTTGGAATTTATATTATTTCATCCTATAATTATTCAGTCTTAATTGAGGTTATGATTATTTTTCCGCTGTCATCCTTAATTGAATTGTTGAATATCCTTCGTAATTTCTTCAACCTTAAAAGAAGTAGATATCATATATCTTAGTCGACTTATTTTATTTCGCATTATTGGATTCGTGTTAGCTTCCCTGTTGTTGAAGTGTATATTGTGGGATTCGTTGCTACACCTTAGTTTTCCCTTTGTTGAGTTGTTCGCTTTACGCCTAGCATTTCAGACTGTGGTTATTCCTTGTGATTTGGTCCCACATTTTTCTGTGATTTAAAAGTTCTTGAGTTGATTTACTTGTCGTACTTTGTATTATTTCCATTATTGTTGTTGTATTTGTTATTGTGATGCATGAGGTTTCTGCCGTGCGGTTGTTGTTATGGGGTTGCATGAGGTTTCTGCAGTGCTATTGTTACTATTGATATTTACACATGCGGCGTGACAAGGTGGGATATATATATGTGTGGGTTGCGCATGTGACGAGACAAGGTGGGAACATTATTATGCACGTGTGACGAGACAAGGCGGGCATTTATATTACTATTGCACACGTGGCGAGATAAGGTGGGCTGTGTCAGAGATTGATTTATGATGATTTATTGCCTGGGGGCATTCTTGTTGTTGATATTTGTGTAGTGGTATACGTACCTGTGTGAGCTTTATCTTGTGAAAGCTGTGAGAAAATATTCTACGTGTTGTCCATTTTTCTTCTTCCTTATGCTTATTTGCTGGTATGGACTATGTTAGGACACTTGTACAAGCATACACATAGTTAAGCACTCTTATCGGATAAGAAGTGTTCTTGATATTGTTGAGCATAGATTCTCACCCTTGTTTACTTGTCTTCTATGTGAGAATGGCTCTATTGGTACGTGAGTCGTCAGTGTGGTTATGAGGTGTTATGAGGGCACAGGATGCCAAGTGTTAGGGTTCAGGTATTGAGACCCGTGAGTTGTGAATTGTCCGAGGTTCGGTACCTCGTGGAGTTGTTGACTAAAACCTGACGTAAAAGCGATTGTAATTACTGAGTTATCATTTGTCCTTGCTGTATTCGTGATTCCGAATTTAGGTTGTGTTCCATTCACTTTGTCTGCGTCATTTTCATGATATTTCGCTGATACTTGTTGTTTCTTGCTTTAATGTCATTACTGTATTGTGAGCCATATTGCATAGTCTTTATGTAGACATCATACTTCTGTTATTCATCTACTTATATATGTGTGGTTATTAGACCAGTGGGTGTCTTGACTGTTCCTCGTCACTACTCCACCGAGGTTAGTCTTGATACTTACTGGGCACCGTTGTGGTGTGCTCATGCTACTCTTCTGCATATTTTTGTGCAGATCCAGGTACTTGTTCGTTAGCTAGCTATGTGGACTGTTGCTGTGGAGACTCAAGGTAAACCTGCTGCCGCGTTCGCAGGCTTCAGAGTCACCTTCCAGTTTTCGTTTTGCACTGTTTATTCTTATTTCTGGACAGTTGTATTTAGAGTTTTCTAGCAAACACTCTGTAGATCTTATGACATGTACTACCGGTTTTGGGAATTTTAAGAGATTCTATTTAAATACTGTTGTTATTTTAATTATTGTTAGACTTACCTAGTCCTTAAGACTAGGTGCCATCACGATACCCAACGGAGGGAAAATTGGGTCGTGACAATATATCAATGGTAATTCCCACCAAAAATTTGATAAAATCAGTGGAAAAGTGGGGACACGAAAATTTTACTAAAATTTCAATAGTTCTCACAAACTCTCTGTGGGAACTGTTTAGCGCCTAAAACTGCCAAATTTGTTTCCTACCTATGTCAGTGGGAAAATAATTAAAAATTAATTACATAAAATTAAAAAGAAGTTCCCAGGGAAAACAGTGGCAAACCAAAGAAAGTATATGCAATATTTTTAATATTCCCACACATTCTCTGGGAAAGTAAATATTAGTATATTTTTTATTTTTTGGGAAAAAGGATTTCCCACCTTCTAATTAGGTCAATCGCTTCCCATTCTCCCATTTCCCACATCTGTGTTGAAAATTAGACGGAACCGTTGTAGAAGATTTCATCAGCAGAAATAGGTGAAACTTCAGATTCTATATTAATAAAAGCAAACTCAAAATCATCATCACCGTTCTCATCCTTATCCAGTTCAGCTTTCTCATTCAAAATCTGTGCACAACTTAATGTCTCATTATTATCATTGAAGAAAAATTCGGAATTTGTTTTATCTTCAGCGTTGAATTCTTTGATAACTCTAGCAGCAATTTCGGTGAGATTGGTGTTGGAATTATAACTCGAAGACTTCAGGGACAACATCGGTAAGTCAATCTCTCTTTCTCTCTCTCCTTTCCCCTTTCCCAGATTTCGGGTTCCGCCACTGTCACCTGAAGCTTGAGTCCGCTTCACTCCAATTCTTCAGCATGCAAGAATTTGTTGGTCAGGAATTGGGTTTGTTAACTCCTTAGGTAACCTATCTGTATACTAGGTGTTAGATGAATTTATTGAAAGAAATTGATTTTTATTGAACTTCTAGATTTTGCTTCTTTTTAGATTTTGAGTTTCGTTTGTATTTTCTTATGGTTGGACTATATCTGTCCATTCAAAATTTTCATTTTACAAAATGACATTGGATTTCAGAAGTGTTATATGCATCTGAAATGGCAGATATAGGGTTTGGGGGGTTTTGAAGGTTTTGAAGATTTAGGTACTTGAGAAGCCATTTTTGTTGAATCTTGATTGAAAAGATTGGATTTTTACAATGTGTGTGTGTGTGCCACTGTTAGTGAGGCATAGCAGAAGAAGAGAATCCAACCGGAAAAATTGATTGAAAAGATTGGATTTACTTCATTGTTTTGGTTCAAAGGGGTGCTCATGAAAAATTAAAAAATCCAACCAGAATGAAAAAGAGCGCTCAGGTGGCTCAGTGCACACGGGCGGTTCAATTAGTATGGCGGCTCATAGAAGAAGATTGGTAATGTCTTTATTATATTTTTCTTGATTTATAACTACTTTAGTTACCATTTTTAAGATATTATTTATTTTTCAGAAAAAGGCTAAAGGAAGACTAGTTACTCATGATGAGGTATTTGAGGAAACCCACATGAAGAAGTTGAAGGATGGAACAAAAATGACTTGGGTTGAGCAGCGCGCTGAGACAACCCGTGTAAGATTAATGAGCTTTATTTTAAACTAGCTTATTTGTTGGTAGCTTATTAATGAGCTTTTCAAAATGCAAAGAGCTCCAAAAACTGTGAAAGTCTCATTAGTTTTAAGTCTGAGGCTGTGGTGAATGCTGAGAGCTGTAGGGAGTTTTAATGGTTGGTTTTGCCATTCTCTGTCTTTCTCCACTGCTAATGATAACTCCAATGAAACATTTTTCCAATTACTGAACCACCCTTTTGGTGAAATTACATAATGACCTTGCTAGTTTCCTGTTCGTGTTACTCTCTCCATTTGTATCGGAATATTGTTGAGCAATACTAAACTTATATGCATCAGAATATTGAAATTGAAATGGAAAACAAAGCTTCTATGCACTGTGAGTTAATCTCTTGAATGCTCTTTGGTAAGTCAGCCTTAACATTACTATATTTTTACTTGACCCGATTGAAATATTCTGTGCCTGACTGTTATGTGCTATGAAATTGTATGTAAAAACATCCATTTACTTTTTATTTTATTATTCTAGACAGTGAAGAGTTAAAGGAATCCCTGTGTATGCTCCTTATTCTTTTTAATGTGGCCCTTTTTGCGAGCGTGCATTGTGAAATTTATGGATATCAGAAGTTCTCCATCTTTATAAAAGTGCCACCAACCGCAACCAAAGAACAATCTCTTTTTTGGTTGAGCAATATTCCCTTCAACATGTGCAACTTATGATTGTGTGGTCCTCCTCTTGACAAAAGCAGTATGTGATCCAATATTTTACTTAGTGCCCTTTGTCTTATTTGTATTTTGAAGTAATCAATGAGATTCTTAATATTGAGAACATGTGAACTTAAGTTGATTTGTTGCAAGCTGAATCCTTTTTTAGCCTAGCACGTAGCGAGGACTAAGCTTTTTAAAAGGTAAAGTAAGAATCTTGTTCAAGCTAGCACTAGCTTTGGCTATTGTGGCATATATATATTGGAGAAACACACTTAGTTATGGCAATTGAGACTGAACTTGGAATACAAGTACGTCAATAACAGACAGAGCACTAGAAGTGCGCTATTTCACTACCAAAGACCAGTCATAGTGAAGAAATATAAACAAACTCAAATATAAATGCTGGAATTCATCTTATTGTTTCCCCATTAGAAGTACTAGAGAACTAGTAGCTAGTAGCTTATGGGTATTGATTTTTACAAAAGAGATCATGTAGTAATTTTTCCCCATTAGAAGTACTGATACATTGTCTATACATTATCTTTCCGTGTGTTTCACTTTAAAGTTTGAGAAATAAAGATACTTGCATAAATTTTCTTTAATAAAGTTTACTTTTATAATAATTGTAATTTTTTTATAGGATACTTTCAAATGAAGCTCGGAGGAGTTCATTCAAAGTCAGCTGATTGATGATCAAGGTAGGCCAATCCAACTATCCCAAGAGGAGATCATGGACATGTGGATTAAGGCAGCTGGTGGCGTGCATAAGGGGAGAGTCTACGGCCTTGGATCAGAGTTTAGTCTCGGTCGTCGTACTTCTGGATTGTCTGGTTTTTATTCTTGCTCACATTGCTCGATTTATCTGGATGAGTTTGAGGAATTGAATAGGAAGGTAGCGAAGATTACTGAGTTGTATCTTCAAGAAAGGGCTGCAAGGAAAGAAGAGGCAAAGCGGAGGGAGGAAAAAGATATGCGAAGAGAGGAAGAGGAAAGGCGAAGGGAGGAAGAAATGAGGCACAAGGACGATGCATTAAGACTTGTCACTAGTGATGTTAAAAGTCTCAAGTCTCAGATAAACTCCCTCTTAGCATCTGGTGCATTTCTTGTGCCCCGTTCTCCAGCATATGATGATAATTAAGGAGTAGTTTCTTTTATTAGCTTGTCTTGGATGATACTTGGATGTTGAATATTGAATGTTGGATTTTTTGAGTTTTTGTTCTACTTTTTGATTAGTTGGATTAATTATGAAATGGATTGATTAGTTGTTGTTTATGAAATAAATTGGATTGCATGTTGAATTTGGTATTTGAATGCTTAATTGTATTTAGTCTTGTATTGTTGGTTATACTTTCTGTTTGGCAGGTGGTGTAGTTCTAAAAACAGATTTGGCCATGAAAATATTTTTCAGATTTTCCACTGACTCCGTGGAAATTTTGTGCATTTTTTTCCAGAATTTTAATATTTCCTACTGATTTTCGTGGGAATGTTCATATGTTTATTTCGAGGTTATGAATATTTTTCACTACTTCTATGGGAAAAAAAATATCCAAATTATTTTTAATACTTCCCACGGATTTGGTGAAAAACTTAAGAAAATTAAATTATTTTATTTTCTTACTTTTCCCACGACGTTCGTGGGAAATTACACTAGGTGACTCCACCAAACCCTCAGTGGGAAACTTGCTGGGAATTACCCACGAATGTCGTGTGAAATTATTTTTTCACCAGCCATTTTTCCACCGAGCATTTTCCCTGGGAATGTCGTGGAAATATTAAAATTTCACACAGATTTCCCACCGATTCTTTTGTGGAAAAAGTCTGTATTTCTAGTAGTGAGTGGATACGAGTGGATTCCGAATATTTTGAAGACGGTTGAAAACCATGCAAGACTTTGGAGTACAACTTCATTAATGGACCCGGGCTATCCTCGTAGTTCTTCTCCGGGGCATTGCTTCCATCTCCTCGGAAAAGAGCTATAGGTCAAAAATATTTCATGCGAGGGCGAATTTCTGCTGCTTATTCATTCCCTGCTTCATTCCTATCTTCGGGCGGATACTTATCCTAATCATCATCGTGTCGCCGTGTAAACTAGCCGTGTGTCAAGGCCAGATTTTACTTATACAAGATTATTTCTTAAGCTTTTGTTACTTAACTAAAATTAAGTAAAAAGATGTTCTGCTCACCATGATGCCACATCAAAATCTAAAGAAGAAATATAATTTTTTCGTTTTCCATCTCTAGTGTTCGATACTTACAATATTTGGTTTTGACTAATTTGAATTCGCATTGCGTAAGGCTTATTACAAGAAGAAAGTACTATCTATTAAGATTTTTATCCATGGCTCGAACTCGAGACTCTGATTATGGGTAAAGTGATATATTCTTTCCCTCACAACCCTTGATAGTAGAAGAAAGATAATCTGATGCTTATTTACATACTTTCGTACTCCATATAATTAGAATAACATATAATTCATAGAAGTATGAACAAATCAAATATTGAAATACAAAACCTTATATTCATAAGCAAGACTAATAACCTGTTTGGCCAATCTTCTTCCGGGGTCAAAAAAGTATTTTTTCTAAAAAAAAGTACTTTTCTCATCTAGGTGTTAGGCCATGCTTTTTAGGGGAGAAAAAGTGATTTTGGCTAGAAGCAGAAATAATTTTGTGAAGCAAAAAGAAGTAACTTCTTCCCAAAAGCAAAAACAGAAGCAATTTTGAATTTTCTTACCAAGAATATTCAGAGCAAAATATTGTATATACCAAAATAATCTTATTTAGTTTAAATATTATAAGTAATATATAATGACTTTTGGGGTGAACTTTCATATTTGTTGAATAATTTCTTAATATATTTAAATCATCTTAAAAGAATAAAGTACTTTTAAATTTTATTTTCATCGTTTACTTAAATAAAATATTTTTTTTAAATTATTTACTTTAATAATAAATTTTTATGATTATTTATCTATTTATATAATATTAAGTATTAAGTAAATATTTTCATGTCCTTACTTATAATTTGATATTTTTTTGAAAAATACTTTTAAAAAAAATATGTTAATTTTTACAACTTGACCAAACACTATGAGCCAAATATAAGTAGTTATCTGTGACGACATCATTTAATTGGATGTCACGACATCATTTAATTGGTAAAATGGACTCTCTAATTTTTGCAATGGGAAGTGGATACAACACTTTCTTTTTTTGCGATGTAATGATGGTTAGTGGTACGTAGTTACAAACTTACAGGGGTAGCGTAGTTTTTTAGTACAACTACTAGCGAGTCCAGAAATCTTCCCAGGGAAATTTGCGCCCTGGTTATTGGGTATGGTGGGGGGCAAAAGGGGTATCAAGATTCAAGTATCAACTTATGAATTTAACGGGTCAGAATCCAGAAAGGCAAACGGGTCCGAAACAGGGAAAATTAAATAGAAGAAGGTTACAAACAAATTCAAAAGTTTCCTTCTCTCCCGCGTTTCTCATCAGTCTCACAATTCACAAGTGTAGCACGCCGACCACCGACTAGCAACAGTAAATATCTAATCGGCGATCTCGATATTGAAATCCATAGATTTCGGTGAAAGAATTCACGGCGACCGACGATCCACACCTAATACGTACGCTCTTGTTCAGCATAAATATATATAAATCTCTCTTCGTATTTTCCAGATCAGTTCTGGAATCAACGCCGTTCGTCATTTCTCTCTTTCGACACACGGAGTCTCAGTACATTTCTGTCCATAAAATACCGGAATTTGGATATTGATGCATTTTCCTTTTGGAAAATTTACAGGCTTGAGTTTGAAACGTATTGCTAAGGAACGAAAGGCCTATGAATCTCCTTTTTTCATTCTTCAGAAGGTCCATTACGACAACTGCAAAGCTTGCCACTAACGGCAAAATCCTCAAGGCATTGATCTGCATATCTGTGCAAATATCTCTCAGAAATCGCTGTTGAGAGGTAACAACCACATATTTTCCCTTCATTTTGATTCATAACTGCATTAGTACGTCAGATTTCGTTTTCTATTAGTCATTTAAGTGCTTATCCTCAATTAATTTGTAAACCGAGTAATCACTCCTTTGAACTTGAAATTTGTTTACTGTTATTTTTGTTTCACTTGGAATTATCTAGGATTGAGTTAATAATACTGGTAAAGTCCATCTCTGTTACTTCAAATTGTCCTGATTTGTTCCAAATGGGATAATTATGGGCTTGACAACAAAATTCGATATGCATCTTCTATTTGAATGGTATCTTAGAACAGTTGCTGGTTTGCAGTAGGTGAGCATGTCTTTTGGTAAAACTTGGATTATGTGTGATTTGAATGATGCTATGGCATTTTGTGGAGGCAATCTAGTTTCCATGTGTCATTGGCTAGGTATTGAGTGATCTTTTTATAGGAGTACATCAAAAGTTTGTAATTTCATTAGCTTTCTTGTATGTGTCGATAAGATTATTATATCTGTTTTCGAGTTTCTGATTAATACTTATAGTGAAACTCATCATTAAGTAAGTAATAATAGAAGAATATTTATGACATTTTCTCCACTTTATAATCATCTAGCATGTTAAATTTTGGAGGCAGACATTAGCCATTGTATATTTTAACTTATTATTACTAGCCTGTAAAACTCATATGATTTTGACCTACCTGAGAGATTATTTCACTTAGGTGATACTTGTTTTTCATTTCCTTCTGTTCCTTTTTTCCCCCTCCGGTCCTTGTGTAATTATCTCTTCACGATTTAGTGGAGGCTGCAAGGAAGATTTCTGCCACAATGTTACAATGGATGGGTGGGTCAAGGAGGAAAGTCGATACTGTAAGTGTCAAAGGAAATAACTTATTATCCTGTAGATATACCTGCATATTTCTGAATTTGGAAAATAAATTGTTTCTTTCTTTTTTCTTTTCCGGAAATAAATTGTTTCTTTCTTTTTTCTTTTCCGGAAATAAATTGTTTCTTTCATGGGGTACTTTGAAGCACAATTGAGCAAATTGCTGTTAGGTAGAACTGCAGCTCAATGCTCATTAGTGTGGTTTGTTAGTTGATCTTTAGTAGTGCATGTCTCTGGAGTTGGTAATGGATTTTAACGTAAAAGTGTGGTTAGTACAGTTCAAATGAGGAGTTATATAATGTATTATTGAAAGATGAAGATTACCCTTTAAAGATTGGGATCTCAAACATACTCTTAAAAAAATTAAAATATCGTTAATCCATTTAGTCCTGGCAGAACTCTTCTTTCGAAAAAGAAAACCTCTTACACTTTCTTTACGTGAGTTTAATGGTTTACAAGCCAGTTTGCAGATTTATTGTGATAATGTTCAACTCAAACCAGCCCCCAAAATTAAAAAGGAAAAAGATATAAGAAAAGAAATATTCATCTTTCCTTGAAGGGTATCAGCTTGTTCTTTTGCAAGTTTGATTTGTTTCCATCATTCTCAGTAAGTTAATCTTATTGCTTTGGGAAATGTTCTCATACTGATGCTTTCTCTATTGATTTGTGTTATTATTTCGCGGGATGGAAAAACATTAGTCAAGAAGGTCAACACAGAAAAGGTATTGGAACATCACACAACTGTCTTTATTTGATCTGATTATAGTTTTAGCTTTCCTCAACATCAACACTGGTAAAGATTCATAGAGAATGTTGTCTAACTCAATATACAGGGATTTAGACTAAGATGTAGTTGGTCTATCTTATAGGCAACAACAATACTTTGAGCAAAGAAAACGGCAAGAGCAGCAGAAAAAAGATGCAAGAGAGAGCTTCTTTGAGGAGAAAATCCGATGTAATCAGCAAGAAAAGAGTAGTCGTTCACTGGATATTCGGAGTTTACTAAACTTATCTACAGATTCTGGGGAACATAAGTCAAATGTCCACTCAGGTACATTGACCTCAATTTTTTATCTCTCCAAAAACTTTAAGCATATTAAAAATCCTTATGTGTGTTTTAGGGTGATTGGCAATAGCATTTGATGCTTGTTCATGTTTCTTCTTACGAGGTAGCTCAGAGATATTATGTAAGCGATTGTCCCTTTTGGGGCATCCGGTAAACTTGGAATGATACAGAGATATTACGTGAGACATCTTACTTCTCAAAGAAGTTTGTATCTCAATCTGTTCAGCCTTTGGAGTTAAAATCCCTAAAATCTGTGAAAATCAAAATGAATGATGTGCATTTTCACTTTCTTCAAAACTCAAAGTAAACTCTGAACTAGTTGCAAAAGTATGCAGCTTCATTAGCATTTAATGTCTTTGAGCAATTAATTGCTATCAGGTACTGTTAGAATTCTTCTTTCATGAGTGTCTTTACTACCATTTCTAAGTCTTTCAGTGATATCAAACAACCTAATATACATGTTTTATCAATTAGAGATTGCAATATGGGTTTGACACAAAATTTGATTGTGCAATGTGAACATGTTAAATTGCATTTTGTCTATTTTCCTTATGTGATGAGTCATACCTTTTCACTTCAACTGCACGGTGATTCATAATCCCCCTTTTGTGGCCTAATGTTCTTTTGCATCACTATGTAAGCAAGGCATAGTTATGAGGGAAATGCCTTTACTCCACACAATCAGATGCTACAGCGTTCTTCGGTGATTCAAACCAATGAAGTCATCTCTGTTGGCTCTCTTCAACATAAGGAAGGTACTATACTACTATACTTGCATTCTGGCAAAAGCTAGTTTGCTGAGGAGTATAATTGTTTTTTCTTGTCATTCGGACGTAATGTGATCCATTGTCCTAATAGGAACTTCACCAAGCTCCCAAGATTATGCTGCCTGCCCAAAGAAGTAAGTATGCTTACGTTGAGTGGATTATCCATATTGAATTGCATAAACATAAAAATTCTCATAGGTTTATCCTTGTTAGATTGCATAAATATTTAAAAGAAAAGAACTCCTTAAGGAATCTTGCTTGAGTAAATTATTTTGAATGAAAGGCTGCTAAACAAGTGCAGATAGAGAAGCTTCGAGTTCATGCCTGACTTAGATGCTAGCAACTTGTTTGGATGCCTAGAATCTCCATGAATTGCATTCTTTTAGTATTTCACATGTTTGGTTGTAATGTCTCGGAAATAATCATTTTTGTTGAAAAGAGTTCAATTAATCATTGATGTTGCTCAGTACATCAGTTGGAGCACCTGGATGTCATGCGAAAGCTTTGTACAACACTGATTACAAACTAAATCCACTGACGAGCTCTACAGGCATGCGTGAGTACTATAAATGAATATTGTATAGAGGTGTTTGCCTGTAAGCTTGTAGTAATAACCTGTACAGAGAAAACTTGCTGAAATGGCTTGTCATAATATATTAAGCAATAGGGTAAAAACATTCTGATTGGAGACACTTCCTTTTCAATTTCAATTTGTTAATAGAGTTGGAACTTGAAAGTACAAATTCAAAATATTAAATCAAGGTATCCTTTTGACTATACGTGATAGAAGTTTATCAGCTGCAAATTTAATGGCGTACTCCAAAAAGCACTTCCTAAGAGAATTCTCTGGTTTGAAATGTCAGAGCTGAAAAAATGATTCCTGTATACTAAACTGTCATCGCATCTAATTCTGCAGAGCTATCTATCATTGATATACTTGGTGATGATGGACTGAGCTGCGAGTTGGAAAGTTCAACTCATGAAGGTCATGTTGCATTTTCGATTGAAGGTACATTCAATGGTTGACCACGAATCAATTACATTTATTTTCTTTTGAGAGACTGATAGCTTACCACAAACAGGAAGAAAAGGTCAATTAACTTCTTTCACTTTCCTTTCTACTTTATGCTCTTTATAGGAATCATTTTACAAATATCATAGAGTAGCAATTATTTCTTCATTTTGCTTTCTACTTTATGCTCTTTATAGGGATCATTTCTAGTTTGCAGGGAAAAGGAGTGAAGAACTATCTTTCTTTATACGTGCCTTGCCTTCAGTTCTTTTATGATGGATACAGTGTTAGAACCCGCACGATGCACAGATAATTTTAAAGAATGTTAATTTTATGAAATTATAAACTAATATATCATATTGATTCGATAAATTTTAGTTGCTATTTTATTTTTTAATACAGTGTGCAGAAATATAAGAAATTTCATATAAATTTAAAGGATACACATTATATCGTAATCAAATAAATTATTTGTTCCATGTTTTATTCTTTATTAAATTAGAAAGTACTTAGTACTATACATTTACTATTGTAACTTTTTATTAACTTGTCAATTGGGTTAATATTTTGTCACTATTTTTCTTTTAATATAACAGAGATGTATATTTTCTTACTCTGAAAATATTTTTATTATTTTTCAACTTATGTGGTAGTAGCAAACTAAGAATAAAAGGGATACCAAACTACACTAATACTATTGAACCAAGGAAGACACAGGGAAATGCTCGACTACCTACTCACCTTCTACCCTAATTCTCAACCTCCACATCCTCCTATCAAGGGTCATTAGTTTTTGTTCTATGAATATTAGTTTTTGTTCTATACTATTTTAATTTTTTTGCCATTTAGTATTTATCTATAGTACAACTATTGTTATATTATTTTTTAAATGGGTGATGCTCAATTAGTTCAAGTGAGGCTTGCTCAGTTGTTAAAAGCACCTCCAACCACGACCATTAGGTCCTGGGTTCGAGTCACGCTGGAGGGGAAGCGTGGAAACACTATAGATCCTTCTAATTTGGGAGGGGTTTAAAAAAAAAAAAGTTCAAAGTTTAAACAGATTTTTTTATATTATATGTCATAAATCTAATAATAATTGTTATAATTATTATTTTAGTATTACTTTCAATAAGTGATTAAATTAAATTCTCCTTCCCTTTTATGTTTAATATGAAAGTTTGACTTTTAATTTTTCATTGAGGATTTGAGGTTACTATATAAGAATTTAAATTATATTTTTATATTTTTATTTATTTTTTAGAACTATGTCAATTGCCTATGTTTTTATTTTAGTTTTATCTATTATAATATTTTCAATTACGTGATCTTATCCATATAGCATGACCATATGAATTATTATTCAAAAAAAAAAAAATCATCTTAAAAATCAAATAAGCCTTATTCTTTTATATATATCTATATACTGAAATTATTTGTTACATATTTTTCCTCCTTGTTTAGTTCCTTGTCCATGTTTAATAAGTTACCCATAGCTTAAAATTGTTCATATATCATTGTCCGCTACTCCTATCATTATTTCTTCATTTTGCTTTCTACTTTATGCTCTTTATAGGGATCATTTCTAGTTTGCGGGGAAAAGAAGTGAAGAACTATCTTTCTTTATACGTGCCTTCAGTTCTTTTAGAATGGATATTTGATGAAATGCCTTTTTGTCTGCTAGGTTTAGGTAAAGTTGAAATGTCTACACCATTCCATTCACCGCAGGTACCTCGCAGGTAATTGTACTTTATGCATCAAGAATAATAGAACATGAATGATAATTTTGCAAATGCCATCTTTACGAGATTTTATGACAGCCAAAAAGGGATAAATGGCTTCCTCCTGAATAAGTAGTAGTTAGGACTACTTTTGGAAGTCAAGATTATGGATAGGTTTCAAATTTAAAACCGGCCGTGAAAGCTGCCTCTACCAGTTTTATTGACTGAAAACAACATCTGCACATTTGGACAGCCATGCATTACATTTCCCAGGTTTTGAGGAGATCATCATAGATGATAAAATTGTATGCTTGAACTAAGTCCTCTTTGCCACTAACATAAAGCTTTCGTAAACAGAGGATGAGGCATTAATGTTATGGATGTAGTTTACAGTAATGTTGCATCCAGCAAGAAGGAACTCCAAATTCCAGTAGAGGTTCTTAAGTATTTCCAGATAAGCAAATAAGTAATACAGTCACAGATAACCACCCAAATCCTTGATAATGCTCACTTGGTAAGCTGAGGTAATCTAGCCACTGGAAAGTGCTCTGAGTCCCTCTATGGGATGCACAGTGTGCTTAAGGGTTATGTATTTTAAAATCAAAGCCATAGATATATGTTCAATCAATGCATGCACACCTCATGTTTATATTACATTTTGGAATACTAGAGAGGATCCTTTGCAAGTACCAGACACCTGATTGATTCTCAGGTTGCAGTATTTGGATGCACCAACTTTCAATGGAAAAGTCAATCTTACATAGGACCTTAAATTGGCATACTTAATAGTCTAGTTCTTCATGCTTCAATAAGCTGATTCATGGTCACATTTTATGCTTTATCGCTATCACCACACAGAGTTGCATGGAAATCTTTGAAGTTGCTCCTGCTAAATGCTGCTTTATGTTGCATGACTGCAGACCCTTATCATGTGGTAGGTCCTCACCCCCAAGGGCTAGGAGAAAAGCTCTTTCATTTGACTACCTTAACAGAGGGACAAATGGCATTTTACGTGAATTGGTGAGAGCACTTCCTGATGCTATTTTCATTCAGTTAGGGTTGCTAGCTTGCTGCATGTTTTATGACTAGCACTTCCTCTCTGAGTTTATCACTTTCTACCTTTATTAGTCTCTCCTTTCCATGGGATGCTGGACCATTACCTGTAGAAATCTTAGTGCTTCTATTACTTCATTTCCCATAATTGTAAGCTTACTGCTGTATTTCTTTCTAGCTTCACTTTTTGTCTGGTGTGTAGTTAGGATAAATGTTTTCTTGATGAAAAAGCAGGAATTTGGCTTTTATGAGCATATGCCTATTTGTCTACAATTATATAAACTCTTACTCCAGATCTCATGCTTAAACCAATATGTAACCATCATATTTACCTGTTTTGAAACATCGCACCCATGCCCTATCTCCACTTTCTATCACTATCATATCTCACGTATCTTCATATCCAACCAAACACATAAAAATGATTTAGGAAATAGTTTTCAAGATTTCATAATAATTATGCCACACCAAACACACCCTCTTCCTCTACTATACCTTATGGTATCAAACGGGTGTAGGCTTTACGGATGATTGAGTAAACCAAGTTCCAGGCTTCCAACAACTTTATGTTTCCTTTTAGTTTCAGTATGTCTAGTTTTTAAATGGTGGGCATGCCTCAGCTGTATCTTAAATTCTACAGATTCCGTGTTTATTGCTTCACTTGATATGTACAGCGATTTTATGCTCTTGATCTTGAAAATGAGGAAATACCTTTATTCTATTCCATTCCATCATCTTTTCGATATAGGCATGCTTTTTTAAAAAAATAAACCCCTCACCGTATGAAAAGAAAAACAAAAAAACAAAAAAAAAACAGTTGGTTATTTGTAGCAGTGTTCTGGGCTTCTGACAATGCAGATGTCCTTCCGTTATACCAGCCCTAATTGGTTGCGTGGACGCACTACAGGATAGCATGATGGTGGACGTAGAACTACCTTTTTGTACGAGTCCTTTAAACAGATCCTCTTGCTCCAGGGGAACAGCAGATTTACGTGGCAGCACGGAACAGGAGTTACTAGATACCAAATGGTTCTCCTCTAGTGATAACAATTTCACTGGTCTGTACACTTTTGAGAATGAAGAAATCTTCGGCAAAAGCAAGGAGAGTTCAAACACAATTTGGAATGGTAGGGTCCTTAATGTCTTCTCCTCATCTTTTCTGGCTTCTATGTTAACATCTCCAAAGTGGAGTTGAGTTGGTTTCTTGAGTATCTTTCTTATTAGGGTAAATCGCTCTTCATTTTTACTGGAAAAAATGTATAATTTAACTTTGAAATTCCTTAGTGGCGCTTGCTTTGAAGTTTGCAAACTCAGTTTTAGGAAAAAATCTCTTTGAACTATTGGACAAAAACAATTCCAAGAATTTTGCAAGCTAAAATGAACATCACATTAACAACATGGTAACTTGTCCAGACGTTTATGTTTTCATACATATATCTTTCGAAAACTTGAATTTCCTGCATTATATTTGACAGTTCACGAATACTAATCATGTTTCTGCCAAGAGAGGCATGCAGAATTAATACTTGTAGCACAAAGTTCAAAATTGGAGAAGTGCTTTTGAAGTTGCTTAAAATTTTCAAACTTTTTTGCACTTCCACATCTTCTAAGTTTTTGATTCGTTTAACAAGTAGCATATCTACACCGTCTTTTATGTTGCATCCAGCAAATTCCAGCTTCCCACTCCCCGAAAGCTTTCATGAAGATTGTGGTTCACCACGCAGGAGCTACTTATATCATTTTGATGCTAGTTCCACTGATTTTTGGAATAACCAAAGTTGTGGGATGCAAGAATTCAACTTTGAGGACTGTTATTATGGGGGTTCATCCAATTCTTTTAGTGCCAGAAATTATAGGAAGCAAGGCAGTTATGCTGACGACTTGTATCATCAGAAGCAAAGGTTTCTGATATGGTACTTCAATTCCTAATTTGACGGTATTTTTTGTTCTATACTGAGCGTGTCTTGTCCTTGCAGGATCAGCATGAGAGCCAAATCAGAATTCAACATAATAGGTGCTTTACACTTCTGCTATAGGAGATGCTCTTTAAAAAGCTGTACACTATGATCATTTAATTGTTTTGCTTCTCGAGTTTTGATTAGAAGGTCAAGTTTGAAAACTATGAAGAACTGTTCAATATGGGGAACTAAAATGGAGTGTTATTGAATTGTTATCTGGACAATACTGAGAGTATAGCTTGGTCCAATATGTCGCATTTTCTGTGGTTATCACGTGTTAATCTCACTCAAACAGATTCACCTACTCCCTATTCCAAGCACTTCAAACCAGAGATTATCAGAGATTTCAGTGTCTCAGATGGAGAATGGTAAGCACATTTTTCTGTAGATGTGTGAGGGGGGTTCTTTGGTTGGTTAAAACTCTTTTATTTCTGGCTGGCAGGTTTTCCATGGGATGTACAAATCCTCATTTTATGGATTATATAGATCATGCTGAGGGGACGCGGTTCGCAAATGAAGATGCAAGGGACAATTCGAGTTTATTGAGGTTGCCATTTGAAGTTCTTTCAGTTTACTGGTCTCTCTTCTGAGCCTTTCAATTGCTAATGAACTGATCCAGTTTATTCTCTTGGACATACTGACTTCTCTTCAGCGAAGAATCATCTTCGTCCACTGCAGGTCAATGTCGTTTGTACTTATTGCCTTATTGACTTGAGCAATATAATCAGTTTTTTTTTTCTTTCTCATCCAGTGGTGGGTGACTTGGACAGACAACAAAAGATGAACTCAAATAATAAAAGGAGAAGCCAGGATATATCCGATTGGAGCAAGGAGACCAAGTTGTGTGAGAAGTTATTTGCTAAGGGAAGAAACTGCAACCGGAATGATATTCAGCAAGGGAAAGAAATGGATGAGCCAACGAAGTTATCATGGCCACCGAACCAATCAAGTGCAAAGGCAGCTCATTACCATCCTGCTTTCTATGAGAAGAGGTCAGGCCTGAACAATGATGGATTGAGGGAGGCTAGACATGATCCAGGAGAGCCAAATTCAAGATCCAGATCTTTCTTCCAAACTTCAGGGTCCAAAAAACATGTATCCACATGTGAATATGCTTCCTCATGTTTTATGTCTGAACCAATGATTTTTGAACTAGGTAGCCCCAGGTGCGCCTACCAGAACTTGTTTCAGGACCCCAAGAAGGGCTGTGGGTCTGAGGATTCATTGCATGTTCTTGGTTCCCGGGGCACAGTTACAGGAAATGTTGTAAGAGATGTAGGTATGAGACCTGATTTCCTGAGTGGTGGAGATAAAGGTGTTGATATGCAGGCATTTGATAGCAGGCAAGTTGACCCAAAAACTGAAGTTTCTGGCCGGTGCAAGGGTTTGTCTTCAGGAAAGGAGAAGTCATTGGATGTATCAGGTTCTGTCAATAAGTGTAGTGACTGTGAGGAACCAAAAGAAAAAACTCCAGAAGCGGACAGGACAAGATTGTTTAACTATTCTGAACGTGCAGAAGAAACATCTTCATCTGTAGAGATATCCACTGTATTGAAGGGGGATAAGGACGGTTCAGATAAAAATCAGGACAGTTCCAATAAAAATCAGGACACTCAATCTGCACTTAGATGTCAAGCAGGAGATGGAGGTAGAAATTCTCTTTTTTGATCCTGATCTTTAGATGCGTCTTATGAGAATAAAAAATGTCTTTGTGCTTTGCCAGTTACAGAAGCAGACAGCAGGTCTCCAGTTACAGAGAATAACAGGCAGTGTATAGGTAATACTCATATAAGGTGTATTACACACAACACTCAGCTATTTTTGTGTTTTTTTTTTGCCAATTACAATGATATCTTAGTCAATTTTCCTGAATGGAGTCAGAATTAAAGCAGAATGCACGCAGTTAAAAAAATGTTGGATACATCACCTTAGTCAATGAAATTTTAGCACTTATGTAAAAGTCTTTAGCACAATTCAAAGATCTTGAGTGCTAGTTCACCCGCATGCTAAAGGGTTAAGGGAGAGCAGAAGCCGATGTCATATGTACTTGTGAATCTGTGATCACGAGCAGTAAGCTTGTTAAACTTCGCCGCAGAGAGTTGTCTTTTTCTTTATTCAGCCTGTTCTGAACATTGCCTGCTAATTTTGTTAAATCTGTGATTTCACCAATATCAAATTTTTGCATCCTATTTTTTATGCAATGTTCAAAAGTTTACTTTTCAACGTGAACAGAACTCTTGGTCGAGCGTACACTTTCTTGGTTGATCTATATTTGCCTAGTTATTAAAATCTTATTCAGGTGCACTGGTTCAGCAATCCAGTCAACTTACTTTTTTAATGGGTCCCTCTAATCAAAAGAAGTTTGTTTCACTCAATTTGAGTATCAGGGTGCACCATGAGCTGTCAGTCTGTTTACATGAACTTTCAGGGGTCAATCGGAATGACCTCTGGACATCTTCTGGTCTCATGTTTGTGGTCCATGCTCTAATAATATGTATCTTTAGACTTTTGCTTCGCTTTTTAAACATCTCACACTTTAGTTTGCACCCAAGAAATTTTACTTTTCTGCAATATAGTAACTAGTCTCTATGATTTACAGTAGGAATATCCAGATTGCACTTGGTATTCTTCTCCTAGGGGTTAGCATTGCAACAGTGACTGATCTGCAGCTTAATTTCCTCGGTTCCGTTTTGTCTCTACTTGCAATTGTGACAACTTGCATTGCTCAGATTGTGTCCTCAGCTGAAGTGCCAGTCAGTTCTTTTCAGTTTCTATCACTGTAACCCCCAAACCCACTCCCCACAGATCCTTATCCCTTAGCAGCCTAGACAATTTTTTGTAAGGGGACAAGATTAAAATTTTTCCGTAGGAAGTTTCTTTTATGTATGTTCTGAAAATGTTATTGCTCATATAGCTCTCGACTATTAACTTCTCTTGCTTCNGAGAAGATTTTCCATTTTTTTTCAATGTTCCTACTCGTGTCTGGACAGAGAATGTCGTATTACCTTTCAAACAGGCCTGCGTTGGGTAGGATAGATCAGATTCAATCGGACTTTTAGGTGTTGTACTGCAATTCGACTGTAAAGGAGGAAACATAAAACCTTGAGGAGTCGTTTGGTTGGTGAACACGTTATACTGGTCATATTACAATCCTGGAATTACAATAAGGAGATTAAATAATGAAGGGCTTATCTAGTGGATATATTTTATAGGTACATATTTGGTTTATTGGAATAAAAATGAGATATATGAGATATAATACTAAACATGTATTTGCTTTTGTACTAGATAAGTTGGGATAAACTTTATTCTAATTTTAACCTTGATTTTTAAAAGAATTTTCGGAGAAGAGCTTTAGGAAGGGCATGTTTATCATTTTGGTGTCATATCCGTGGCTAGTATTCCCAAGATTATTATCCCACTTAGAACATGATAAAAAGTAATACTAACAATTAGAGTATAGTATAACTAATCTAGAAATTGCTAATTTTGGAATCAGAAGTTCAATCAAAGGTGAGACAAAATATACTTTATCTCATAATTGTTTACCCTTGTCTTACGAACCAAACGACTACTAAATTTTTTATTATGTGCTCTATCAACATATCAATATTGAATACTTTTTTTTCTTCCAACATCTAGTCCCAAGATGACAACACTAATAATTCTTTTAATAACAAAAGGAGTACGTGTAAAATAACATAAAAGCATGGAGGCGGAGTCTAAGGGTGACATTTGGACCGGGTCAGCCCGAGACCGAACCGATCCGCCCCGATAAAAACATGTATTTGAACAGCCCGACTAGACCGAGGTGGGCTGGACTAGGGGAGACTAGATTGAGGGTTGGGCCAACCAAGGAACCGGGCCCAGTTGACCGGCCTAGATACGAACTCGGGTCTCGGCCCACCATGGCACTAGCTCGGACCAGCTCTGTGACAAAATTTTCTCTCTTTTATTTATTTATTTTAATTTCTGGCACTTTATAGCCATTGGCCAACGGCTATAAACGGCCAAAATGGTCTCCCAATCCTCAAACACCCCACACCCTCTTCCCCTTAAAATTTTAATCCATAAGTTTATAAAATTATATTTTGGCCCTAATTTCACCTATAAATACTCATTATCCTTCTTTTTTCATATAATTTCTACTTATTATCTCTCTAATTCTTTCTTTCTCTCTCACTTAAATTGCTATCAACCTTTTATTTTAATTATTTTGGGCGAAGTTGCAATTAACAAGAGCAAGTACATTCTAGTTTTAAGTATTCAATTCATCAATTTATGGTTACCTTGTTTCTATTTTTCTCCGATAGTTTGGTACATTCGTTCCATTTTTTACTTTTATTTAGTAATTTAATTATTGCATATTTATTTTTATTATTCTTGTATCTTAATTTTTAAATTTGTATTATTTTAATTTGTATAATGGATAAGTTAAAAAAAGTTAAAAAATAATTGTGTTCCCAGTCCGGTACTGGTAGTCAGAGTAAGAGTAAGAAAACAGTTGGTAGTACTAGCACTAAAAATTATTCACGTATTCTGGGAATTGAAGTAGAACATGAAGGTGTTGATTTAGGTTGTGGTGCATATTATTTGAATTATCTAAAGCAACAAGAAAATTATAGTTTAGAATCTCGGGGCAGCCCAAATAACATAAAGAAAGGATACTTATTTCAAAGCGGTTCAAGTAGTTCAGTGCACTGAAAATATTAGTATGGTTCGTATCCACATATACTTCACAACTCTAATAGTCCATACCAGCAATTTGTGTCATTCTTGCTGAAGCATATATTCTAGGTTTTCTTAAAAGCAAATCCTTATTAAGATGACCAATATTTATGGTAACAAACTCAAACATACCAATGGACCAACAACAGCTTTTACTCATTTTTCCCCCTTGTTTCTTGAACCCCGAACCTCATGGGGCGAGTCCTCTCCATTAAGACTACGATTTTATCAAAAATGTTTTTTTTTATGACTGGTGGTGTACGACTATTCCATCTAATTCCTACTATGACACGAATTGCGTAAACTCTACCCACCAATACTTAGATAAATGAGAAGAAATCACCTATTTAAAAATATTATAGTAGACTAGACATCTTTTATACATGTACATACATATATACAGGCGCGCACACAAAACTGGAAAGCTCCTAAAACACATAGACATTGAAGTTAATTATCTATACTATATTAAAAGCACGAATACCCTAAGTGAAATGTCGTTCGCCTTTATTACCTTTTAAAAATAAGTTTTACATTGGACAAAACCGTATTAAATTATTCCTTTAATATTTAGGAATTTAAACTCAACAAAAATTTTGGTTATAGAATCTTTCCTTAATTGACAAATTTAGGAAGTCCTAAGGCACAGAGTAAACTAAGATCTTTCTTTCTAAATGGAAATTACAATTAATTTTAGTAATTTCGTTGTTTTAGTAAAAGAAAAAAGAAAAAGAAGAAAAAAATAATTAAGAAGGTCTTTAATATTTGTAAGAAAATTCACGCCTTCCTATTATCTTTGTATATGGGTGAAACCGAGGGTAACACACACCCCGATTTCTCGGTGTATCAAACAGAGTAAGAGCATATGAGGTCGAAACCGAAGCCGGGAACTCTTTGCAGCTAGGACCGAATGGAATGCTCGCCATCAGACCTGATAAGGAAACTCTCCTTGAACCCGGAACGAGCTCCCAGACCTCGAAAAATATGGCAAACGGTTGCACACGACTAATAGGGGGCCATGATATCCGTGCTCAATCAGATGTCACAGCGCGAATCTCACCCGATGTCAGTAACGGATCAGTAATTAGACTTGTACTAGGGGTGAAAATCTCCTACTATATAAAGGGGAAGATTTATTCTTTGATGAGACATATTGTAACACGCATACCAAGACAATACAAACTTATTTCTATGCTTTCTAGCTACTGCAAAGTCTTTACTTTACTTTTGTTCTTTGTTCTTGATTGGCTTCGAACCCAGGACCCAACCGAGGACAGAGACTATTGCCCAATCCAAGTTCAAGCTAGGTCATAACGTTATGACTGGTTTGATTATTCATTGTGTCTTTAACTCATTTATCTACTATTCTTGATTATTTGTGTTGAGTCAATCCACATATCCTTAAAACCGCGTATAAATTCAATTGTTATCCATTTTAAGGGTAAACAGTTTGGCGCCCCACCATGGGGCTAAGGATAATAGTGGTGGTTTGATACAAATTTCCATAACACTCTATTTTACGCTTGTTTTTTAAGGTTTCAATTTCAGGTCAGCTTAAAAATGTCAAATTCTCAGTCTACTCACTTGAACGTTGAGGCTGAGTCTGGCCATCATGATGAAAACAACAACCTTATGCCTAGCAATGAGGTGCCCCCTAATGATCCCAACAGAGTCCCGACTGCCAATCCAATCGACGCTAATTCACAGGTTGCTATCGACGCCCACCTGCCAACTGGCCCCGAAAACAACGTTCGTGGAGGCCCTCGACCAACAGTTCGAGAAACGCCCGAAGACGAAGGTGATGGGGTAAGCCTGCGGCTAATCTTTGAAATGCTGCAGGCTCAATATGCGGTGATAGTACAGCTACAGAATCAAGGCCACCCTCCTGGTAGGGTTGATCCCGAATGGTCCCAGGAGAACACCCGAAGAAACGAGCAAACCACCGAGAGGTCGGGTGAAGTTGAGCCCGGGGCCAACCCCGAGATAATGAAAATACTTGAAGCATTGACGAAACGAGTAGAATCAGGTGAGAAGAAAATTGAGGCCAACGACAAAAAGGTGGAGACATATAACTCCAGGGTCGATCAAATCCCAATAGCACCCCCGATAATAAAAGGACCTGATTCCAAGAAGTTTATCCAAAAGACTTTCCCTACGAGCGCTGCACCGAAGCCGATCCCGAAGAGGTTTCGTATGCCCGATATTCCCAAGTACAACAGAACCACGTATCCAAACGAGCATGTGACCTCCTATACATGTGCCATCAAGGGGAACGACTTGGAAGATGATGAAATCGAGTTGGTGTTGCTAAAGAAGTTTGGGGAAACTCTATCAAAATGAGCAATGATATGGTATCACAACTTACCGTCAAATTCTATTGATTTGTTTGCTATGCTTGCAAATGCCTTTGTGAAGGCTCATGCCGGGGCCATCAAGGTCGAGACCAGGAAATATGACATTTTCAAGGTTAAGCAAAGAGACAACGAGATGCTCAT